TTTCTACTTTTCGGAATTATTTTCACTCACCCTCTCTCTATTGTGTGTCATGTATGTAATATATTATGTTGTGAAAGTCTATTGAATTCATGGGAGGTATTCATAAGGCCAACAATATTCATTAATTGAGTTTCGATGCACTTAGGAGTGGGAGACGTGTTGTACAAGAATTTGGATAATAATATCTTCAAAAAAAGTTGGATAAGAATTTGAGTAAACATATATCAAAAATATGCTTTTCTAATCAAACAGTAAAACAATGTGTAAATTGGATTAACTTACAATAATTAATTTATCTTTCATTCTAATCCAAGGATCAAAAGTTATATCATCACATGTGGCTACCCATCAATACCATAAATCAACAACCAACTTAATCAAATACAAATTAATGATGGTTTCTTTGAAGTTCAATAACTTAGAATTCGTTTATCCGAATTAACTTTTTCTCGAATTTAATATACATGATTAAATACGAGTTATCAACAAACCCAATATTGATATACTTATATTTGCTTTATCAATATCAAAATTGGTCCAAAGTGTAATATCTTAAGTAGTTAAAATAAGTCAAAACCAATTTTTAGTCAAACATGTCATACTATGAAAAAAATAGAAATTAAAAGCAAAGTGGCGAGCGGTGGAGTGATAAACTTTGACCCAATTCATGTGTATAGAAATCAATTTCAATCCATAAACACACACAACACACGTAGAGAGGCCAATAGCAAGTAAAAAAGGAAGAGAGAAAGAAAAAAGGGGGGGAAGAAGAAGGAAAAAAAGAAAGAAATCTCGCCAACGTATTAGAAAATAAGTTCTTTTACTATTATGCTCAAATTCTTCAAAGTTAAAGGTAAGTAAAAAATTACTTATTGAAAAGTTATGTTACATTCTAGGGTTGTCGAATCTTTAGTTTAAATTCAATTTTATTGATAGGGATTTGTTGAATTAAGAATAATAAGATATACAGTTGAGTTAAATGGAAGAAAAATTAGCTTAACTGATTAAAGAAACTTTAGAAATCTCTTAAACGTAAAAGGACTAAGTTTTGGTATAGCCTATTTAATTATTGAAATTACTGTTAATTGGTAATCTAAAAACTATATTATATTTTAGGCGGCGATACGAACATCGGGATAGCTTACCAATCGAGTTAATTTTGCGTACATAGTTTTATGAGTGAAAAAATATAAATATTTTTAAATTATTTATAAATTAAGTATATTATTAAAGTATATGCAATTGTGTGCAGTTATGTGTTCAATTATATGATTATTATGGAAATCTCTTTTATTATGATACACGTGGAATCTCAAAGATTATTTATGGCACATTTGTGACTTGGTATGTGAGACATGTGATATTGAGATTTATTTGGTATGTGAGACATGTAATATTGAAATCGGCCAGAAAAGTACCCATGATTATATACTTCTTCTAATCCATAGAGAGGTCTTGGCTACATGAAGTGGTCTTGACTAGACATTGGTCTTGATCTTGTACATATAGTTCACAGAGGGGCATTGACCGTATTTTAGAATTATGATTTCATTGTAGTTATAAATTCTAATCGCTCTTTTCAAGTTCGATTCCCAAACTCTTACACCGATCAAACTTAATAACTAAATCAATTTATCTCTCTTGAGTTCTGATGTGCTAGGTTTTTATCATTCTCGAGCTAGTGATTCCGAGGATCTGAGATGAACTTTTCTATTGTTTTTATCATCGTGGTGTTTGCGATATGGCATAGTCCTCAGGTAATGGAAAATGCTTGAGCATAGGCTATCTCACCATGATGACAATCTACGTTACCCATCCTCGGGATATGTCCTCGAGCATGCCCCTGATCAAACCCAAGATGACTCCTACGCACCTAGGACTCTAATCTCATCCAAACTCCTCAACCTAAGGCCTTTATGTCTGATAGAACTCTATCTCAATAACATTACTATAATGATTGGGATTGCAGTCATTTGTACAAGTCCTACACCCATTCCAAGTAGGACTCTTTGATATAAGGATGTTCCACTCATTCAATCCCACCAAAAGTATACAACCTATCTCTATAAATACATGCCTTCCATTCAGGTATGTTAGATTCATAGCCAACCTTATGCATAAATTCCCTTTTTTGACTTAAGCATTAGAGAGGCACAGAGGACACACCTCGACGCCTTTGTTTCAAGTACCAGAAGATCTCGTTTGTGTTCATCCTCAGTCATAAAGTTCATGAAATCAACAGGTTGATTTTTGGTACATCATTAGCGCCGACTGTGGGAAAAGCTACCAAAAGCCATGGTTAACACACGATCAAGTCTTCCTCTAACAAGCTCATCCATTCTAAACCCCCATCTTCCTAAAGATTACCCATCTCCTCAAAAAGAATCATCAGAAATACCCACGCCCCAACTAGCAGTTGTCACAGCTGGAGCCTTTGAAGAGCTCCATCAAAAGATTGCCACGCTAACTCAATTGTCGAGTCAAATAATTCACATCTATCACCTATGCCAGCAAATCAAGGTGGTTTCATGAATGATACTCGAGCACAACCACAAAAATGTGGCCTCGGTCCCAAGAACAATGACTATGGATTCTGGTGAGATTGCCCAGATCATCCAAGTAGGGATTACAGTTAGATCACTTCGGAATGCTAGAGGACCAATAGGTTTTACCCCAACACTCTGTTCACGCAAGAGCTATTGTCTTACCATTTACTAGGCTGTTCAAATATTTTCGTTTAAAGAGTACGACGGGACAACCAATCGGATCAATCATCTCAATGTGTATACTGACGTCATGAATTTGCAAGTTGTACCAGATCAGGTGAGGTGCAAGGCCTTCCCGTAAACATTGACTAATGTTACCAGGTATTGGTTCTCGGCCTTAGAGCCTAATTTCATAGCCTCATTCTTAGATTTGGCCAATAAGTTCTCTGCCTTCTTTGCAAGTAACAAGCGCATCGAGAAAACAGCAGCATCGCTCATGTAACTTCGTGAAGGGTAGTATGAAACCTTACAAGATTTCATGACAAAGAAAGGCTCCAAATACCCGATCTACATATTACAACAGCTGTCTCCACCCTTACATACGCCATAATGTGTGAGGCATTTAAAATGTCCTTATCAAAAACTCTACCACTAACAGTGATCGAGCTCTTTACTTGAGTTGAAAGTATATTATCATAAGGAAACATTGAATTCGAGAAAAGTTGGTCCATCCCATGAAATATTTGAGCATAAGAGGCAGCGTGATTCAAGTTTTCGACAAGAACATCCTCAATATAAGAGTAGAAATGAAGTACCACTAGCACCCCTCACCCGGTTGAACACTTCCAAGGCCAATATCTTGATGGAGATCATGGATATGAAAGATGTGAAGTGGCCTTCAAGAATAAATTCACCTCCTGACACAAGGACGGGAGCAAGGATTGTGACATCCATCGGGATCACGGGCATACTACGAAAGATTGCAAGGCCCTGCAATGGGAGATTGAGGCCCTTAATAAAAGAGGGATCTTAAATAATTATGTTGATCATAAATGCCCGAGGAATGATCATGACAGGGTGAAAACACCTAAGTCCAAAGGTAACGATCAACCTACGACAAGAATTATTAATATTATCATTAGGGGCATAGTATTTGGGGAAGACGCAAACATTAGACGAAAATAGTATGCCCAATAATATTCCCTGGCTTCAAAGGCATCCCGTGATAAGCTCGAGGACATTACTTTTAGGATGAAGAATTTGGAAGGAGTGTCATTTTTTCATGATGATGCCTTAGTCATTTCTGCAATTGTGGCCAATTTTGAGGTAGCAAAAATTTTGATCGACAATGGAAGTGCATCAAACATACTCCTTTATGAAGCATTCACTAAAATGGAAATTTCAGCTTAACAACTCAAGGCAGTTAAAACTTCTCTTCAGGGATTTGGTGGTGGTGTCATTGTCTCAGAGGGTGTCATTGAGCTTTCTCTTACATTGGGCTCTGATAAAGAGCAGGTGACTGAGATCATACCCTTCCAAGTAGTTCATTCTTCCATGGCTTATAATGCCATCCTGGGAAGACCCTGCTCCAAAGCTATCGTATCCATCTTTTACCTTACCATGAAGTATCCTACAAGTCATAGTGTAGGGGTCGTGCTTGGAGACCAAATAGCTGCAAAACAGTACTATGTTACTAGTATTAGGGGAATAAATGTCGGTGCCATACAACTTTCAATGCCCAAGCTCGAGCTTGAGCAGCGGGTTAGACTTGCTCCAGTTGAAGAATTGGTAATGATTGAGCTCGAGCATAGGAGAAAGGTAACGGTAGCTCGGGATCTAAACGTCAACCTCATGATTGAACTTGTCAGCTACCTATCTCGTAATATTGATGTCTTTGCATGGAAGGTTGAGATATACCAGGGATAGATTCTGAAGTTACAGTTCATAAATTTAACATGAGTCCAAGGGTCAAACTAGTCAAGCAGAGAAAGAAACAGGTTGCACCAGAAAAACAAGAGGTCATTTGCGAAGTGATTGACAAACTTGACAGAGATGGCTTCATTTGTGAGGTCCAATATCCTGATTGGCTAACGAATGTTGTTCTGGTAAAGAAGGCTAGTGGTAAATGGAGGGTTTGTATTAATTTTTGGATCTTAATAAGGTATGTCCTAAGGATAGCTACTCTTTTCCTCGGATTGACAATCTCTTGGATATCACGTCTAGACATAAGTTATATAACTTGCTTGATGCATTCTCAGGCTATCATTAGATTCTTATAGCCGAGGAAGATCAAGAGAAAACATCCTTCATGGCTGATTCTGCATATACTGCTATAGGGTTGTGCCATTTGAATTGAAGAGCACTAGACAACATATCAAAGACTCATCAACAAAGACTTCCAATTTGATAGGGAAAATCTTGAGACCTATGTTGATGACATGGGTAAAAAGCAAACAAATAGAGTAGCATATATTCGATCTCGAAGAGGTGTTTGGCACCCTATGAAAGTACAAGATGAAGCTAAACCTAGAGAACTGTGTATTTGGTATAGCATTGGGAAAGTTTTTAGGTTTCATGATCACTTATCGGGGAATTGAGGCAAACTCAAAGAAGATACAAGCTTTGGCATCGATAGAATCACCAAGGAATAAGAAAGAGGTACAAAAATTAATGAGTCGCATTGTCAACCTAAATAGGTTCATGTCTCGAGTAGTAGATAGGTGTTTCTCTTTCTTTAATGCTCTCAGGGGAAATCAAAGCTTTGATTGGAATGAAGAGTGTGAAAGGACTTTTCAGGAGCTCAAGCAAACTTTGACGTCTTCCCCTATCCTCACCAAACTCGAACCCAGAGATACTTTGTTTCTATACTTGGTCGTCTCTCATAATACAATAAGCAGTGTGTTGGTGAAAGAGGCCAATAAAGCATCTACTATGTGAGCAAGGTGTTGCTTGATAAGGAAATAAGATATGCTTTGGTCGAACGATTTGCCCTTGCCCTAGTTATGGAAGCACGAAAACTCAGGCAATATTTTCAATCTCATCCAATTGTGGTGCTTACAAATCATCTACTTAAACATATTCTCCAAAAACCAGACGTCTCGGGCAGGTTACTAAAGTGGACAATTGATCTTGGAGAATTTGATATAGAGTTTAGACCCTAAGGCCTTAGCTGATTTCATTACAGAGCTCATCCCAAGGCCTCGAGAGCTAGAGGATAGTTAAAGCTATAACGCCAATGATATATGGGAGATTTTTGTTGATGAAACATCAAACTCCTCAGGCTCAGGTGTAGGGGTCATTATTGTAAGCTTGGACAAGCTCACAAAAATTCAGTGTGTGCTCGAAAACCACCAATTATGAGGCAGAGTATGAGGCCATCGTCATTGCTTTGGAACTTGCCATCAACCTCGAATTTGAACACATCATAATCTTCAGTGACTCTCAACTTGTGGTTGGTTAAATTGAAGGGGCATTTGAAAAGAAAGAAGAAAAGATAAGCTTATATTGTTTGAAAGTTCATGACCTTCAGTGAAGATTCAAGAGTTGTGAAATCCTGAAGATTGCTCGGGTTGACAACTGTAAGCCAAATGCATTGTGCAGATTAGTATCCATGGGGTTAATGGACTCGACAAGAAGGTTCACATCAAAATTGTGACTGAGCCCAGCATTCATCAAACCATTGGTGTCATGGACATTGACCATGAGCCCTTGTGGATAGATCGAATAGTAGACTTCCTAAAAAATGGAAACCTGCTAGAGGATATTCAAGTAACAAGGAGTATCAATATAGAGCATCAAGATATTGCATGATCAAAGGGGTTTTGTTTCCCAGAATCTTCATACTTCCATATCTCAAGTGCCTTAAACCCTCATAATCATCCCAGGCCCTAGCTAAGGTTCATGAAGGGGTATATGGGAATCATCAAAGAGCTCCGACATTGGCCTTCAAAATCATAAGGTATGGATATTACTGAACTACCATGATGAAAAATGCCTTAGATTATGTTAAAAGATGTGACAAGTGTCAGAGGTTCGGCTATGCCATCCATTTTCTTGCAGAGAATCTCACTACCCTTACTTGTTTGACCCCATTTGAGCAATGGGGTGTTGACATCCTCGAACCTTTTTTAGTAACAAGGAAACATTTAAAGTTTGTTGTTGTAGTAATAGAATATTCTACTAAATGGGCAGAGGCAGAACCCCAAGCAACAATTTATGAGCCCAAGCTCCGGGGCTTCATTTGGAAGTCAGTCAATTGTAGGTTCAAGATACCTAAAGTCCTCATAACTGATAATGGAAAACATTCAATAATCCACAATTCAGAATTTTTTGCACCAACCTTGGGATTGACCACCGTTTGACGTCAACTACATATCCACAAAGCGATGGCCTAGTTGAGGTCACGAATTAGATTATATTACAAGATCTACGAACAAAGATCAGGGATCTAGGGATACTTGGTCCAACGAGTCGCCTTCCATACTTTAGAGATACACAACATCTCACATGACTACTACAAGTGAGACTCCCTTTATGTTAGATTTTAGTATTAAAGCTACTATCACGGTTAAGATCAGATTGCCCAGCCGAATGGAACTTGAGCCCGAGGCCTCTAGAAGTATAGTTGAACACCTTGGCCTTTTGGAGGAAGTTCGTGATCAAGCTGCATTAAGGGTAGCCTCTTACTCGTGCTCACTTGCTAGCTATAGACTTTTACGGGTTAATACATCTGTGGGTAGAGATTTATCATGCAAGGGCATATCGACGTACTTGAATAAAATGGCGAAAAATTTCAACAATAAAGTTAGATCCCAAAGATTTAGAGTTGGAGATTTTGTGTTGAGAAGGACTGAACCCGCTGGTTATGCCTCAGACAAGCTTAGGCCTGTTTGGGAAGGGCCCTTTGAGGTCATACGACAGCTTCAGAATGTGCATACAACGTAAGGGATATTTCGGGAAGACCACTCTCAAGACCATGGAATGTTGATAACTTAAAGATTTACTACAAGTAGTTTGTCCTACAGTTTATCTTTCTTTGCCAATTCTATTTTTTTGGGTTGTGCGTGTGTGCCCATCTTTGCTTTTTAGTTTATCGGGCCTATGTGCCCATCTTTATTTTTTAGTTTGTTGGGCATGCATGCTCATCTTTATGATTTTGTTCATTTTTAAAGGTCAAGGCGATGTCCAAATAAAAGTTCTCTTTTTGCCATGGATGATCAAAGCTTCATCCCCTGCAAGTACATCAAAGCCTTGCCCCTCGTGTAAGCACCTCAAAGTCTTGCCCCGAGTAAGCACAGTAAAGCCTTTCCCATGCAAGCACCTGCGCACCTCAAAGCCTTGCCCAGTGCAAGCATCTCAAAACTTTGCCTCGTGTAAGCACCTCAAAGTCTTGCCCCGAGTAAGCACGGTAAAGCCTTTCCCATGCAAGCACCTGCGCACCTCAAAGCCTTGCCCAGTGCAAGCATCTCAAAACTTTGTCTCGTGTAAGCACCACAAAGCCTTGCCTTGCACAAGCATTTCAGAACACTTTCAAGCCTCACAAGCGATAAAATCAAGTAAATTTCCTGTGCACATAAATCTCGAGCCATTAGAGTTGAATTTTGCTAAAATCACCTAGGCATAGCTCGAGATAATTATTCTACATAGACCTCAAGCATGTCCTCGAGTCTGATAATTTTCAAATCACAGCCACAAAGCTCGGGATAATATATTTAAATGCAGATACTTGAGGTCGAGCTTGGACCTCGTGATTGGGTTTAATGTTTTACATTAAAGTTGACCTTAAGGTTGAGTTTAATCCTCTGCATTAAATTTAACATATTGGTCAAGCTTAATTTTTCATAGGCATTGGGGCTCAATCCTCTGGCTTAATTTCATGTGTGACTTTGGCTTAATCGTCAAGCTAAATTGTTCACATTAGGTTCAACATCATGGTTGAGCTTAACTACTTACATTATGGTTTTCTTATTTGTCGAGCTTATCCTTTCATTAAAGTTGACCTCATGGTCAAGTATAAGCCTTGCATTAAGTTTGAAATATTGGTCGATATTAACCCATTTTCAAACTTAATCCTATAAAGTTTGCCATGATGCTCGAGCGCAATTCGTCATCAACATAAAATAATAAGAGAAATACATGATCATGATCAGGATCATTCATTCCAAATTTTCAAAACAGAAGGGCCCGCAGTTATGGTCAAGCAATATATTGGCAAAATAAATTGTTTTTATATCATTAAAAAAGTCTGGGGATACAAAGTTAAGGGTAGGTACCCTAGTCTAAGTCATCATCCCCAGGTGCATGGTTGTCATCCTCGAAGATATCATCATCTTCATCAGCACCATCAAAAGCCTCGTTGGTATCAGAGAGCTCAAGGCTTTCACTGATCTCTGGTCTTCTTCAACTCCTGTAGACAAACCTCGGGCATCTTAGCTTTTAAGAAAGCTTGAGCCTTCTTCAAGGCATGAAGGTCATGCCTAGTGCATACTCAACCTCTAGCCTGTCCATCTCCTCATACTTCTTTAAATCCTCGATTGCTTAATCCGAGTTTTCATGTCTTTGTTCACATGCTCGAGCTTCAAGTCTTTAGCTTCATCCTTTGCGACGCCAACTTCATCTTGATTCTTCCTTCGCTCGTGCCTTGCATCATCGCGCTCCTTCAGGAGCATGGCTCCAGTAACTCAACATCGGCGAGCTTCTTATCTTGAAGCTCAACAACCTCGACAAGACCTGCCATTTTGTGGGACTCGTCCATCCCCTGCAGTGACAGTCCTTGGGCAATGCTCAATATCTGTACTTCATTAAAGATAGGATTGCCATGATAAAAGATGTAAAATAAAATAGCAATGGTGAAAGGTTGATATTACCTTAAGCATCAAAAGCTTGAGAGCCTTCGTCCCCATTCTCAAACCTAACATTGCCCATATACTTGGTAACGATGCTCGAGAAGAGATGGCAATGTTCGAAGTCCTCGATGACCGAGGCTATTGGGATATAGAATCATCTTCAAAGTCAACTACCTTAGGAGTAATCGAAGGAGGAAGGAATTGGGAGAGTTGGACGGAGGTCGAGGAGAGCTTGCAGGGCATCGAGAACTGGCAGGGCTTAGTGCAGGCGGCCTGAAGGCAGGGCTTGGAACAGGTGGCTAGAGCTCGATGATTCACTCGGGCCTCGAGGTGGAAGGTCTATGGTAACAACCTGAGGCCTTTTATTTCCTTTTTTTTTTTTTTTTGCTTAAGAGCTCGAACTTGAGGCTCCTTGGATTTTGAGTTCACTATCTGATGAAGAGCAGAATGATTGAATGTCATATCTGCACAAACATACAAGTGTTAAGAATGAGCAATAGATCGAGCTGAAAGGAACATATTGATAGAAGCAAAAATTCCCTACCCTCGAGGCCTTTCATAGGATGTCATCCCCGATGATATCATCCAAATTATACACCAAGGGCTTGAGATCCTCTAACATCTGCTTATATCTCTCTAAAGCCTTGAAGTAAGTCTGGGATTTTTCACGAAGGCCAAAATAGGAAGTCAGGATCTTGAGCTACAACGTAAAACCATTTCTCCTTCCATCTCTTTAATGAACTAGGAATCCTCGAGGTCCTAAACCCATCTCAAGTAGAGAGGTAGGCGAAGTAGGTAAAGCGCGAGAGCTGATTTAGCTTGAACACCATTCTACATAGGTCGAGGTAGGGAGTTATGCCCAGATATCTACAAGCTATAAGGAAGTAAACGAGCACTCTCCAGGTGTTGGAACTAGTTACCCGGGGAACATCAAATGCTCGAATATGAACCCAACAAAAAAGGAGTACATAGGCCAACTAAACTCGGCCTTCAAGGAATCCCTAATAATAACAAACTCACCATCCTGGACCGTAGCCATCCTATCCTAAAGGTCAGGTGCCCTACGATCATTATAAGGTATGAGCCCCTATTCTATCGCCACCTACACTACTAATTGCTGTTTAAACTTATAGGGGACATCGGCGTACTTAAGCTCGAGGTTACCTTGTTCCCTAGGTCAAGCGTCCAAGGGTACGGCCATGGGATTGAATTGTATCCCCTCATCCTCAAATCTTCCGTCTCCTCAGATCCTCGATCACTCTTGCTACTCAACATCCCTTTAATGTAAAACTTTTAAAAAATAACTTAAAGGTCTCGAACCTTACCTCAATTACCTGACGCCCAAATGGAAATTCTAAACTTTTTAGCTTGAGCTCGACCTTGCGGGAAAAGATTCATAGAGAGTAAAAAGTGAAAAATGAAGGAGTTAAATGGGTATTTATAGGACTTTAGGGGAAGACCAATGGTTACATCAATCCAGCCTTTGACCCATGCAACGTGTCATTCATTCAGGCAGTCTTCGTTATTTATCGCGATTGTTTACGCTCGTGCTACTACCACCTTGACGCCTTTCCATATCTCGACAATCCCACACATCCTATTCTCGAGTTATTTGCATCTCACTCCTAAGAATGTGCTCGCGAACTCGATCTCACGACTAGATGCACGGGGGCCAGTGATGGCTAGGTTTTTGTCATTCTTGAGCTAGTGATCTCAAGGATTTGAGACAACCATTCCTATTGTATTCATCACCGTTGTGCTCAAGATATGGCATAGTCCTCAGGTAGTGGAAAATGCTCGAGCATAGGCTATCTCGCGATGACGACAATCTATGCTACCCATCCTTGGGATATGTCCTCGGGCATAATAGCATCTGAAAGTCTTGATGTCCTCGAGCATGCCCCAGGTCAAACCGAGGGTAGCTGTTATTAACCTAGGATAACTCCTACGCGCCAGGACTGTAGTCTCATCCAAACTCCTCAACCCAGGGCCTCTATGCCTAATAAAACTCTATCTCAATAACATTACTATAATGATTGGGATTGGGAATGCAGTTATAGTACAAGTCCTTCACTCATTCCAAGTAGGACTCCATGAGATGATGATGTTCCACTCATTCGATCCCACTGGGAGTATACTAACTATCCATATAAATACATGCATTCCATTCATTATTCAGGTATGCTATTCATTATTCTCAATTCATAGCCTCACCCATAAATTTCCTTTTTGACTTAAGCATTGGAGGGATGACGAGGACACACCTCGATACCTTTGTTTCAAGTACCGAAAGGCCTCATTCGTTTTCATCCTCAATCATCAAGTTCGAGAAATCAACCGGTACGATTAGCTTCAAGTTCAAATCAATTTAATTTAGTTAAGTTAGCTCACTATATCTTCATGTGAATATAAATAAACCTTAATTAATCGCATTATATCACCTAATAATTTAGTTAAGTACCATGATAATGGTGAAAGTTTATCTTTAGTTTTTATAATTGATAAATTTTAATACA